CTCCTCTTCCTCCTCCTCGTCCTCTTCCTCCTCCTCGTCCTCCTCGTCCTCCTCGCCTTCTTCATCCTTCTCTTTCCTCCTCATCCTTTCTCCTCCTTGCCGGTCTCCTCCTCCTCCTCTTCTTCCTCCTCCTCATCTTTCTCCTCATCCTCCTCCTCCTGTTATTCCTCCTCCTCCTCCTCCTCGTCCTCTTCCTATTCCTCCTCCTCTCATTCTTCCTCTGTTCCCTTCCCCCTCCTCGTCGTCCTCCGATTTCCCCTCCTCCTGCCCCTATTCCTCCGCTTCTTCATCCTCATCCCCCTCCCCTCCTCGCCCTCTTCTTCTTATTATGCTGCTGCTGCCCCTCCTCCTCCTCCTCCCCTCCCCTCCTCCTCATCCTCCTCCTCTCCTCCTCATCATCATCATCAGCATCAGCATCAGCAGCATCAGCTCAGCAGCAGCAGCAGCAGCAGCAGCAGCATCAGCATCATCATCATCATCATCATCATCATCATCATCATCATCATCATCATCATCATCATCATCATCATCATCATCATCATCATCATCATCATCATCATCATCATCATCATCATCATCATCATCATCATCATCATCATCCTCTTCGTCCTCCTCTTCCTCCTCCTCTCCCTCCTTCCCTGGTCGTCGTCGTCGCCGTCGTCTTCCTCATGCGGAGGAGTGGGGAGGAGACTCGATAATGTGATTGCGAACGTTCGGGGGGCGCGTGTCCACACGTATCCCTTGTGAGCGATCGGAGAGCTCGCCTGTATCAGATTTGATCGCGATGATGCTGCAAATGTTTGCGCAAATCTTCCCTTTCACGCGCTTCCCGTTCATGCCAGGAAGGGGTTGAAGCAAATATCCTCATTTCTAGAACTGCCAAGTTCTTCATACGGAAAATAGACTCGGAAATCAAGGGTTCGCCTGAGACCCCCTCCAAGGCTTTGGAATGTTAAGGGGGTCCCCAGCGAAATCTTGTTTTTTGTTTATCATCGCTTTCTAATTGATTCTATATAGAAAACAAGGCTTCGCTCAACAATTCCTCGGAATGTCATCCCAACGATGCCCCATGACATTTAAAAATTGGAGGGGGTCTCAGGCGAAACCTCGTTTTGTGATTTACACTCGGTGTTTTATGTAAGAAAATGCGTGTCATTGCCAACGTCTGGCCTCCTTGCCCCTCAATAAGTACGATTCCAACTTAATCAATGAAAATCCTGCCCCGCAAGTTGTTTCCACTTGTGGCGGCATTACAATTTGATTCCTGTTGTGGCGGAATTAAGAGTTGATTCCTTTCTTGGCAGACTCAAAAGTTGATTATTTTCGTGGCGGGGTTACACATGTGAACTTGTTCGTGGCGAATTCACAATGTGATTCCTTCCGCGGCGGATTGCATAAGAGCTCCCTTTGTGGAGGATTTACCCAATGATCCCTTCTGTAGCGGAATTACGAAGGCCGCCATGTGAAGAACATGTTGAGGCCTTATCTTCAGAAGCAAACGATTCCCTCACGCCTCCACAACTGGTGTCGTCACATCTTCGTCTTCGGTGTTTGTTTCTTGCTTTGAAGTCCCCCCCGAAGGAACTCCCAAGACATCCCGTTCTCCAAAGTTGACCGTGAGGGTTTTTTTGTTACCGACGGCCATGTTGTTGACCGACAGTCAGCAAAATTACTGTTGCTCGAAAAATGGTCGTCGGTCGAAAACACGACGACGATGAGGACGACGACGACGATGCTGAAGACGACGACGATGGCGATGATGATGGTGAGGATCTCTGGCGGACGGTCACTTTTGACCACTGGACAGACAAATGTCCGTCGGTCAAAAAAATGCCCTCGCGATGAAGACGACGACGACGGCGAGGACGACGACGACGATAAGGACGACGACACTGATGATCATGTTGATGATGGCGACGACGAGGGCGACGATGACGATGACGAAGACGCCTGAACAGCAAACCTGGCCCGACGACGCCCGAAGAAAACCCCAAGACGGCCGCAGAACGACCGAGTGGGACCCGAAGACAGCCCAAGAGAGCTTCAGGAAGAAGTTCAGAGAGCCCCAAGACGGCCCAAGCGAGCGCCAGGACGGCCAAAGAGCGCCCCAGCAAGACAGCAAAACGCGCCAAAACGGCCCACGAAGACCCCAAGAAGCCGTTGGCGGCCACCCCCCACCCTATGGGGGTCCCGAAGAGCCCCTCAGGGACCACAAGAAGCCCCCCAGGGGGAACCCCAAGCCAGCCCTCTCGAACTCAAAGAGAATGCCCAAAAGAACTCTGCTTCCCAAACTGGACCACTTCAGTTTCAATAGTCGCCCATACAGATCAAAAAAAATTCGAGGGTCCCCCATGACGGCCCCCCTTCACCTGAAGGTAGCCCCTCAGTTCCGCGGGATTTCCCTGACCACCCTCATTCCTTCCGCTTGAGCAGAAGCGAGCGCGCAGTACGTCCTAACGCTCGGGATGTGGAGGAGGGGGGATGCAGCCGGTGGGTTGGTGGGTTGAAACACAAAAGGAGGGATGGGGGAGGGGAGCCTGCCCGACTCTTCCATCATGCTTGCTGCAACCCGTCGCCTCGAGGGATGAATATCTTGATGACGATGATGACGGTGAGAAGGCCAAGGAAAGAGGAGGACATAGGAGGAGGGCGGAGAAGGCGGTGGAGGATGAGAAACGAGAGGAATACATTGAGCAAGTGCAGAAAGAGGGGGTCAAGGATGAAGGATGGGGAGAGGAGGGGAGGAGAACGAAGGGCAGAGAAAGAGGCATAGATTAAAAGCTGGAGGAGGTATCATGATGACAATTGGGAGGAGGAAGAGGGGAGTGAGCAAGAGAGACATAGAGACCATGACGTGGTGAAGAAGGGACTTCGCCCTGACGATCTGTGGCGATTGGGCTTCGAGGCTTCACTCTGATCCGTCTCCGTTGCTGAAACGCTGCCCCGGTCTGCGCTAGAACCTAAGCGCGAACGAAGCGCGCGCGTGGTTCTAGTATGTGTATATATACAGGAATACAAATATGCAAGAAGGAACGCGTTTTGTGGACCCATGCTTGGAAAAAACCCTGGACACCCCGGAACTGGGGGCGGGCCTTGAACAATCAAAGCGCCCGGAGAACTGGAAGGTCCCCCCAAACACCGGCCTCTTCCCTAACCGCCCACCCACACCTTCCCCTTCCACCGAGGGAGGGAGAGTTCGAACCGGCCCCCTCCCCCCATTTCCAAGGGTGGGGGGAGTTCGAACCGAGGTGGGGGCACCCCCTTCCCTTCTAGAATCATACTGATGCTCGATCAAGCTCTGATGAACCCTTCTATGACGAGGTCTAACTCTAATAGCATCCCAGTCGGGCTCGATCCCACTCTAATAGAATCCTGATATTATTGAACTCAGCTCTTATTGAGCCCTACTAAGGCTCGGTCCAGCTCTAAGAAGGTCCTACTAAAGCTGGATCCAAAGATAACAGCATCCTTATCAGGCTCGAACCAACCCTGAAAGAATCGCACTGTAGCTGGATTCAGCTCTACTTGAATCCTACGATGGTTCGATCCATCTCCAACAAAATTTGAGCAAGATCCAGCTCTAATTGAATCCTACTTGGGCTCGATCCACCTCCAATAGAATCTCACTAGGGCCTGACCCAGCCTTCGTAAGAACAAACTACGGCTCGATCGTCGGAAGGGGGGCCTACCCACCCACCCTGCAATTCAGGGCGGGGGGGGGCCGTTCGAACCCCCGCCCCTTGCATGAATTTCAGCTCTAGTTCGAACCCACCCACCCCTCCCAGCGTCTACAGAACAAGCTCGTTCATACGTAACGACATGCAATGTGTCTATAGACGCTAGCAGCTAGAAAGTGAGAACGGTATTTAGCACAGGCCCCGGATATTAGCCGATTAACAGCACGTGGACGTGGCCCTCCAAGGAAGACGGCATCCCCTGACATCCGCCGACCTGATTTTTCAACACAGCTCAAGAGGTCTCGACCCCTTCCCTTTGGACGCCCGAAATGGGCACGGAAACAATGGGTACAATGCCCAACAACAAATGTTGTCCCGAACCGACAGCGGCCGCTGTTGGGCAGGCGGCCTTCTGTCTCGAATGGACACAGGCCGCGGCGGCATGGACAGCGAGTCCTGTTCAAGATGAACAGGATCCGCGGTTGGGCATTCTGCCCATGCTTTCCGTACCCATCTCGTTCGTCCAGATTCCCCAGAGCCAGATCTTCGTCCCGGACCCGTTGCTTATGCGCCCAGGGCCCGAGAACCGGCCCCGCAGGCCGAACTCGAGGAAGCACGCCTGGATCGGCAAGGACAGCTCGTCGGAGAGCTGGTTTCAGAGGCCGCTGCGGGCCGCGGCGCGCGAGTCGCGACTGTACCTCCACGCCCCCGCGCGTGGTCTGCGGATGTGACGACGACGACGACGACGACGACGCCGACGCCGACGATGGCGCGCACGACGGCGACGACGCCGACGACGGCGACGACGGCGACGACGGCGCCGACGACGACGACGACGCTGCAAGGGGGCGACGACAACCGCGCCACGGCGGACGCCTGGCCCGCGCGGCCCCCGCAACGCCAGCCCCCGCCGTGACGACGGGGGGCGCTGGCGCCGTTACGACGGGGGCCTTCCGCAGTCCCAGGCTCGAGCAAGCTCAGCAAGCGGGTTCACACCGAGGATCGGCAGAATCCTCGGCGAGCCATGTCTTGTTCAGTGTCACGTACTCTTTCCATCAACCACGGCAGCAGAAACGCATTGATCCGATCACCCCGTCCTGGGCGGAGAGCCCTCAGATCCGACGTTGGGCAAAAGTTGAAACACCGCAACAAATCACAACCCGAGCAACCTCTATCTGTGATGGCCCCCAGGATCCGAGCCTGTGCGAACACGCCGGGTGTGAAGCAGACACAACGCGCGGACCTCAGGGAGCTCCGAGGGCGGGGGGGAGGAGGAGGGAGAAAGGGGGGCCAAGGCGCGCTTCGTCGACCTGAGGCGCGCGCGGGCCCGACCACCGCCAGGCCTTCGAAGTCCCGCAGGTGCTTCAGGCCGCTGGACCCGACGCTGCAGATCACGGTGTTCTTGCCATCGGTGATGGCAAAGACCTCTGACGCCCGCCGCCTGTCCCGTCCCCCTCCACCTGGCCATCCTCAGGCAAGCGCGTTCCATTACTCGCAAATTAACTACTCGCAACTGGCCTGATTCGCCGCGGGGCATGCACGATACATTACATCGAGGCAGACATGTGTTATTCGGAAGTAGGCGAGTAGGAACTGAGTTGTGGAGCGCGCCCGGTGAAATCCTCCTCCGAAAGCCGCTCGGCCTCCTGCTCCTGCTCCCCCTCGACCTTCACACCCGACCCCGCCACAGCGTCCCCTGCGACAGTAAAACCGAAAACTGACCAACCCGACAGTGAAACCGAAAGCGACCGAAGTCGACAGGCCGAGAGCAACCTGGAAGGGCGCAGCGACGTGGCAACGGCACACAGTAACCGACGGAATCGAACCGACCGAGCCTCACCGACTACGACGCAACCGAACCGACCGAACCGACCGAACCGCGAACACTCTCAAGAGCGCGGTCCTGAGGCACCGATCCCCCCCGGTCCCTCGCGAGCCCGCGAGCGGAGCGGGGCGGAGACCCCGGGCGAGCGCTGCCACGGCAGGAGCCGGAAGGGCGGGCCCGTCTTCGACTTGGCCTTGATGTCGCCAACCTCCGCCGACGGCTGGCTGCGCGCGCGCGGCCCGAGATGAGCCTGGGCGAGGAAAGGACGTGTTGCGTGCGACCCTGAGATCCGGGCGTTGCACTTGTTGTCACGCCAGGCGTTTTCGCCCAGTCTCGGTCCCAGGGGCCATCACGGAGTCACTCCATCAAGGTGGAGCTCCGGTCAAGAGTTCCCCCGAGGGAAACTGAACATCACTGCAAGCAGAATTGGGCCGCAGGGGTGCCAGCCCTGCCATGAGGGCATCCACCAAAGAATGCCTGGGCTTGCAGGTCCGAACAGGTGGGCGCAGAGCCCACGCCATAGTGAGATATCCCTAAAGAGCTAGTTCTTGGCTGATGAAGGATCCAAGGGTATCCAGCATACGTTCGTCGTGGTTACGAGTCACATATTGTTTGGAAACTGTCTCGTGCTTGACATTTCCGATTGGAGACAGTTCATTCCACAACATGTCGCAGCAGCATGCCAAGCGTCACCGTGCATCACGTTTTTGGGCAGCGACAGAAACGATGATCCAAAACGCGAGGGCCCCACAAAACTCAATAATCATGGTGGCGCTGTCCATGTTGAAGGTGACGGTGCGTAAACCCTTCGCCACAACCGCACGTTACACCACGCCGTCACGACAAGGAGACATCTGCCGTTACGATGTGGTGCCGCTACCAGTATAGGGCTCTCGTTTCGACTCTGCCCGGCATCTGCCTGCCCTTCACTTCACGTGCCCAAGATCGCTCGAAATCGGCTGCGAGATGCCCCAAGACCACCCAACGAACTCCTCCTCCTCATACTCCTCCTCCTCCTCCGCCTCCTCCTCCGCCTCCGCCTCCTCCTCCTCCTCCTCATTCCGCCCATCTACTCGGCTGTTCTTGGTTTGAGCAGTCCTCTGCGAAACATCACCCATGTGCCTGCATGTATCCAGGCTGCGTCCCTCCTGAGATGTCAAGGAGCCTTCCTGGCGAAACGAGCTGCCATTTTCCCCGTGCACAGCGAGTAGACAGATAAGTCGTTGTCCTGAAGGATCACGAGATATGAGTCAACCACCTCGGCACCGGCAACGCGCCAAGAGACTGAAGGGAAGAGTAAAAGCAAGGAAGGCGAGCAGGCGACCTAGAGGAGGACGGAGGAGGAAGGCGAAGGAACCCAGAAAAAGATGTGGATAGAGGGTTGCGAATGGGGGGAGAATATTCCCCGAACAGTGTTTGCACTTAGGGGTTCTTACTTCTGGCCGAAAGAACTAGGCCTGTCTGCCGCTCTGGCAGCTATGGAGCCGCCGTCGCCGCCCCCGTCGCCGCCTCGTCGCCGCCCGTTGCGTGGGTCTGCCTGCCGCTCTGGCGGCTATATAGCCGCCGTCGCCGCCCCGTCGCCGCACATTGAATCTCCTTTTCATAAATACGAAGATCTCCCCCCCCCGGGTTAACAGGCCACCTTTTCGCATTGCAATGTTCATATAACTCTGCCCCATCGTCCATCCGGAAAAGAAGTTCATACCATCTCAGCCAGGCCGGAGTTCGGCCCCCCCCTCATCCTCTGCGAAAAAACCTATGCGCACACTCGTCTTTCAAAAATCACAAGTGTTCAAGAAGCCCCTGCAAAAAAAAACAAGACGAAGTGCACACGCGCGCGTCGTCGCGCGCGCATGCAAGAATCCGTCCAAAACCCTACGATTCGCATGGAACTCAAAACCCAGAATCACGAAAGCACGAAAAAAAATGTTTCGCATCAAGGGTCGTTTTTTTGAGGAAACTACGCCCGTGCTCCTGCAAATTGCTTATAACATCTTTTCCAACGTGTTCATCAAATACTACCACGCGGGCCTCTCGCGCGCGCATGTCGAAATCGTTCGAACGCCCTGGCGCACGTGCTGCCGAAAGAACCGTTTTATAACAAATGGAACGAAGTGCACACGCGTTCGTCGCGCGCGCATGGCGAAATGATACTAGAACCTTAGATGTCGTGAAGATTCGAAAACAAGCGTTCGGACATATATCGAACCACATGGTTTTGCAACATCTGTCTTCAAAAAAAACCTGCGCTCGCGGTTTTGCTGATTTGTGAGAAAATCATAGGTTCTCCAACATGTTCATAAAATTCTGCAAAACGGGTCTCTCGCCGTACGTCGAATTCATTCAAACGCCATTGCGCGCGCGCTGGGGGGGCACGATCCGTGTCAACTGACACCACGCGGGCCATTCGCGCGCGTCGGCCGCGCGGTCAGCGCCACCGCGGCCGCGTCGATCGCGCCAAACTAGTTGGCAGGTGTGCGCTCGAGCATGCGCGAGCTAGCGCGGCCGCAGAGATGCACCAGCCAACGCCAAGCACTTTTCGCAATCGCCGCCGCATGGGTTTTGCTTGCGGGTGGGCGGGTAGAATGATTGCAAGGGCACGAAATCTGTCAACCCATTTGCAAAAATCAACTGCACCACACAGATTACACAGCATATATTGCAACGCATAGATTGCACAGCAAATGTTGCACCCAACAAATTGCACAGCACTGAGGCATAACAATGACTGCACCACGTAGAATGCTCAACATATATACCCCATAGATTGCATAACATACGTTGCACCACACATATTGCACCGCATAGATTGCACCGCGTAGATTGAACCTCATAGACAACACCACATGGATTGCATTACGTGTAATGCACAACATACATTGTACCACATACGTTGCACAACCTAGATTGCACTTCATGTGTTGTACCGCACAGATTGCTACAGCACACACTGTTTGGGGTAAACGCTTGCTATCACAAGAGAGAAGGAGATTGAGACAAATAAGAATAATATACATATATATATAAAGAGAGACATAAAGACATAAAGACATATAGACAGAAGACAGGCAGGCATGCAGGCAGGCTGGCAGACAGGCAGACAGACAGACAGAGACGAAGAAACATACAGAGACGGAAAGACTGACAGAGAGAGAGAGAAAGAGAAAGTAGAGTAAGAGAGAGAGAGAGAGAGTTGTCTCGAGATGTCTGAAGGCGTCAACTGCAAAACAAGTTTGTCCTAGAAGTGCGTCAACAATGCAGATTAAGCTGCTCTGGGGCGGCCAGCGGCAGAACGCAAATCTCTTCGGCTGACCATTGCAAGCATGGCTGTACATCTGATCCAAGTCACTTGCGAGGGCACAGGGCCCCTTCCAGGAACGCACCCCCCCATCGCCCTGATCGGATGGGTCGCCCGCCCCCCACCCCTCGCCTAGCCCTGCTTCAACCCCCCACCATCGCTGGTGCCAAGCGCACGGATCCACAGGAACCACGCACATGCGACGGCGGCGGCGACGGTGGCGAGGGGCGAGAGGCGCCAGCGAGGAGCGGCGGCGACGGCGGCGCGACGGCGGCGGCAGTGGCGAGTGGCGGCGGAGACACAAACGGCGGCACGACGGCGGCGACGGCGGCGAGGGGTGACGGCGGCGAGGGGCGGCGAACGGCGGCTGCGAGTGGCGGCGGCGGTGGCGGCTACGGCGGCGGCGGCGAGGGGCGACTGCGGCGAGAGGCGGCGACGCCGCCGACGGCGGCGACGAGGGGCGCGGCGACGACGGCGACGACGGCGACGACGGCGAGTGGCGGCGGCGGCAGCGGCAGCGGCGGCGACGGTGGTGGCGACGGCGGCGAGGGGCGGCGGTGAGCGGCGAGCCCGCCTGGAAGGTGCCAGGCTTCAGGACCAGGCCATCCGCCTGCAGCGCCGCCTGTCGGCCGGAGGACCCTCGCAGGGTGTCCTCCCCGAAAGGAGGGGCACCGATGGGAGACTGGCTCCTCCTCCTCCTCCTCCTCCTCCTCCTCCTCCTCCTCCTCCGCCTCCTCCTCCTCCTCCTCCGCCTCCGCCTCCTCCTCCTCCGCCTCCTCCTCCGCCTCCTCCTCCGCCTGCTCCTGTTCCTGCTCCTGCTCCTGCTCCTCTTCCTCCTGCTCCTGCTCCTGCTGCGCCTCCGCCTCCGCCTCCTCCTCCTCCTCCTCCTCATCCTCATCCACCTTCTCCTCCTCCTCCTCCTCCTCCTCCTCCTCCTCCTCCTCCTCCTCCTCCTCCTCCTCTCATCCTCCTCCTCCGCCTCCTCCTCCTCGTCCTCCTCCTCCTCCTCGTCCTCCTCCTCCTCCTCCTCCTCCTCCTCCTCCTCCTCCTCCCCCTCCGCCGCCGCCGCCGCCTCCGCTTCCGCCTCAGCCTCCGCCTCCGCCTCCGCCTCCGCCTCCGTGTCCTCCTCCCAATCATCCTGACATGTGGGGGCAGGGTCGGTCGGAGGAGGTTGGCGGCAACGGAGGGCAGCACAAGGGCCAGGGCCCGTCGGGGGCAGGGCCGGGTCGATGGAGGATGACAGCAACGGAGGCAGCACTAGGGCCAAGGGCAATGGGGTTGACAGGGCTAGTCAGAAAGAGTTCGACAGCAGCGGGGGGCAACGCCGGCCCTGAGATCTGGGCGGTGCAATCGTGTCACGCTGGGCGTTTTCGCCATGTTTCTTGCCACAGATTTACAGAGTGCAATTTTCGTATATAAGTCGCGTGTCCAACAAAGCCGTACTGAGCATGGCCGGCGAAAGGCCGCTGAGCGAAGCCATTGCTAAGCGACAAATGGTTTTCCTAGGGCAGCTCGCGAGGCGACCCTGCAACGACCCTGTGCGATGCTCCGTCCTACAGCCCGGCGGCATTGAACCGCGATTGCCGACAGGGCCTCGCAAACGAGGGCGCCCCCGACAGATGTGGGGCAACATGGTTCTGAATAACTGTTTGAGAATAGCCAGCACCCGCGGCCGCTTAGCTCATTTTTTCTGGCCGGAGGCCGGTGCAGCAGCGGCGTGGGAGTCGGCGGTGAAAGCATGGCGCGACTGACCGGTCACCTGTCCATTTTGCGTGCTTCCTGCTTGTGCACCGTCTGGTGCTAGCTCTCCCACTCCCCCTCCTCCTCCTCCTCCTCCTCTTCCTCCTCCTCCTACTCCTCCTTCTCTGAGTCACCTTAGTGTGACCGGCGCCACGCCTATCTGACGTTTCACTTTGCTCACGCACCGGCCGGTGCAAGGCTTACTTGACTTGACTTGACTTCTTGCCACGGGACCATGACAAATCGAGCGGGCTCGAAAAATGCCGCAGAGAGATGGGGGCTAATGGTCTCCAGCCGTGATTTTTCGCGAGTCTCCGATGTTCTCACAACATCGAATCTCAGGGAAGGGCAGCGCCAAGGCCGGGGGCAGCCCGGGATGGTGCCTGCCAGAGGAGGCTGGCGGCGACGGTGGCCAACACCATGCGCGTGGAAAGCCCAGGACAGGGCTGAGCCGACAAAAGCCCACAGCAGCAGAATGCACCTCGCTCCCGTCAAGCAAGCTGAGTCACCGAGCTGCGTGCATCGCGCCCCGCGATGCGGCGACGCGCGGTTATCTTCGCGCCCTCGCGCCGCACCCCGGCAGGAGGCCAGCTCAGCTGCCCAGGCCGCGGCGCGCGAAGCGCAGCGATCTTCGCGCCCCTGGTAGAAGAAAAACGTTGTCATGATGCAACTGGCTCAGGATATAGCGCCCCTCGTTTCCTGCGCCCGTACGGACTGATAGGAGATCCTGGAAATGCTGGAAATCTTGAAACGCATGCTCATCACGACATATTGCTCCTCTCAGCTAGGAGTGACCTAGAATAGGAGCCACGTCTGTGCCAGCATGGTCTGAGGGGGAACGTCAGGGGGGACCGTCTCAGGACTGGAAACGCCGAGATGGCATCGGCGATGTATCGCCGCCGATAGATCGGCGACAGGCCCCCGATAGCGAATCCGCACGCTCCTGGGCGGACTGGGCTGTCGGGGCCCCATCGACGATCCATGGGCGATTGGGAAACAATGCATTCCCACTGAGCCCATCCCCCCTTAACGTTGCCCCTGAAGTCGGGGATCTTCCGACCCAGGTCAATCCAGACCAGGGTCAGTCAGGCCTCGCAGGATCCTGCAAGATCCTGCAAAATCCTGCACCCAAACATCGGCTCAGTGCGAAGGGTCCTGCCGGATCCTGCAGCATCCTGCGCCCAGACCCGGGTCAATGCGACCCTGGAGCTGCAGGATCCTGCAAGATTGAGCGCTCTGGCTGACCCCCGTTGGCATTGACCCCCGTCTCGAGGCTCCCGATGGAAGTCTTTGCCAGCGTGGTCCTGGCATGAGCTCGGACCGCCGCCCGCCGAGCACTTCTTTGCGGGCAGGAGGCGCCCAGGGCGCACCTCGGGGCCGCGGGCTCTCCGAGCCAGCCAGGCATGGTCTGAAGCGGCCGTGAGCGGGGAGGAGGGAGGAGGAGGAGGAGGAGGGGGAGGAGGAGGGGGGGGGAGGGGGGGGAGGAGGAGGAGGAGGGGGAGGAGGAGGGGGGGGGGGGAGGGGAGGGGGAGGGGGAGGAGGAGGAGGGGGGGGAGGGGGGAGGAGGGGAGGAGGAGGAGGAGGAGGAGGAGGAGGAGGAGGAGGAGGAGGAGGAGGAGGAGGAGGAGGAGGAGGAGGAGGAGGAGGAGGAGGAGGAGGAGGAGGAGGAGGAGGAGGAGGAGGAGGAGGAGGAGGGGGAGGAGGAGGAGGAGGAGGAGGAGGAGGAGGAGGAGAGAGGAGGAGGAGGAGGAGGAGGAGGAGGAGGAGGAGGAGGGGGAGAGGGAGGGGGAGAAGGGGCAGGAAGAGGAGGAGGAGGAGGAGCAGGAGCAGGAGGAGGGTCGGAATATACGACGCTGCACTCAAGATATGGCTACAGATCCCAACTAAGGTCTGCAAGGACGAGATCTACAGCAATACAGAATGCATCTCGTTCGTCATCTCGGACATGGATAAGGCTCTACGCCATTATGCCAAGCGCTACAACTGCAAGATTATCACATACAAGAAGGCCTCGGGGGACGGCGGCGAGTACAACATAGACCAGCGCAAGGGATCGGCACATGACAAAGCCAACCCCCTGAAGCCACTACGGCCGCCTACTTTCGCACCTCCGCAGTCCTGATACGCTTACCTGGCTACTACGCCTTGGCCCGCAACGATTGTTCTATGAACCGTACGAGGCGACCTTTGGTGGCACCAATGACACGAGGATCTCAACATCGACAACCTCAATAACGAGCTACAGAATAAGCTCTTCACGAAGGTCTACGACTACGATAAGAAGTACTTGGACCAAACCGTCATACAGGACCACCCCGCTGGCGCCGTCAGGTACAACAGCAAGAACCTGCACTACGACCCGATCACAGCTACATGAGACAAATACACGGTACGCCTGCTTCCCGGTGGGCTATATCGACCAGGACCGGCCCGACGGCAGGCACGTATTCGACCTCATCAAGCTTCTGGACCTGGCGCACCATACCTTCATCAACGACGAGTACAAGATCGAGGGCATCGACTACAAAACCAATGTGGTAGTGCACTACAACGCCGACGTCAAGCGCAAGATCGAAGAAATCGTGGGATGACATTACTATGGCTCGTACTAGTACATGGGCAGTACCTACAACTCGGGCACGCTGCCCTCCCTGAGGTACCAACTCGTCCTGTACGTGTACATTCTACGCGATGCCTGACTTCGTATCCGACGCCTCTACTATGAAAAGCATCGTGTATGGCGCCATCATCCTTTATCCTCCTCCCCTACACCCAGGCAAAACGGTACTTCCCCCAGGCATTGTGGACGGCATGCCCAACCTGAAGCCAGGCTATACGGGATACGATAGAGTACGACAGATGGCTTGCATCCCTGCATCGACACCAAGTACACTTACTAGAGGCACTACTTCTGATTAGCCGTACGACACGAGTTTACAGCACGAGCTACGACCACTACTCCGACCACTAACCCGCCTGCCGGCCCGTTGTTGTCCATTGTAGCTTACCCGATCACCGCATGGTACCACACCAGCGTTTCGAGATTACTACATCATCACCCAGCTTACTGGCTCGAGCAACTGGATACATCCAAGGGCGTACAATAATGACTGCCTATATCTACACGATCAATGTCCGAGATGCTATAGCTCACGACCACAGTAAGGAACATATTACGCTGGCGGATGCAGGAATTTGGCTACGAGTTTTGAGCTACGATAACAAGTGGATACAAATTGTCTGAATAATTACGCATGGTACGGACGACAAGACCTACTTCAAGATGATCGCAGACGTCAAATCCTCACTGAAGCACCAGTTTACGGATATATACAACAAACGCGTATACGATGTACCAGATTACGCCGAAACACGGTGATTCTCCCCATACGCCGTCTACTGCCCTAGTACACTATTACGATGCATGCAAGGTACTACGTCTCGAGTAGCTCGCACGATGTGAGTGGCACGAGTGACACGGACGCCATCCACCCCTTCCCCCCCTCCTTTTCGACCTCTTGAACCTCGGGATGTGGAACGGTTTGGCGGCCTCCTCCTCCTCCAGCTTCCTCCGAAACGGAAAGCATATCCTCTGGCGGTACGGGAGGGCCTCCGCGGCCGCAGCAGCGGGGGCCCGAGCGCGGGTGCCACGACGCGGGCGCCGACAAGGGATCGCATCCGCAGCGCTGCGAGAGGAGGGGGAGGAGGAGGAAGGAGGAAGAGGAGGGATCGCAGGGCCGCTCGATGGTGATGATGCCACGAGGTGCCAGGTGCCAGCAGCAGAAAGAACAGGGGGGAGGAGGAGGAGGAAGGAGAAGGAGAAGGAGAAGGAGAAGGAGACGGAGAGAGAAGAAGACGGATGATGCGGGGAGAAGGACGAGGAGGAAGAGAAGGAGGAGGTCAGAGGCAGCATTGTGCGCGGAAGCTCCCAAAGCGCGCGACTGCCCCGCCATCCTGGGCTAAGGAGAAAGGAAGCAGCAGATGCAACAACCGATAAGAGGAGCGGGGGGCAGGGGGGGGGGGCAGCGTGAGGCACGGAAGGGAAGGTAAAGCGGGGAGGGGGGGAAGAAGGGCAAGAGGGGAGGAGGAACCCTGAGATCCGACGTCACGAAAGAATTGCAACATCGTAACACAGCTCGGCCAGCGCCCTGGCCCCACGCTTTTGCATCAAGGTCCGAGCTGGATCACTCCGTGAGGATCACGGGGCACAGAACAAGGCAAAATCACCCGTTGTGCAAAAATGCTTGGCCAGGATCTCAGGGGACGAGGAAGGGCACGTAATTAGGGTGGAAAAAAAGGGCACCGAGGGGTTAGCCAAGACGGAGGGAAAGAAAACGGTGACCATGACCAAGACTGAACGCGGAAACGTCAGGGTCGTCGTATCTGAGTCAGCGACCATCTTGGTCATCCTCGCGAATCGGCGACGGCCGGCATGGATCATGACCAAGATCGGCGTCGACAAGATCCCGCGACATCTTGGTCATGGACAGCGTGCTTCTTGACTCGAGAAGTCACGGAGGGGTGCGAGGTGCGAAGGGGAGCCAGGAGAGGACAAATCGGGGGCCGCAAACCGTGTGGTGATGAATCGCGTGGTGACATCGGAATCCCCAACGACCTCATCGCGCGATCCGTCACCGCACGGTCGGAACCCGGTCGCCCGAGACGTCCTCGGAGATCGGCCCCGAATCCCAAAACCGTGCGGCGACCTCCCAAACGTGCGACGCCCTGGTTTTTTCATTACGCGGTCCCCAAAATTCCGACCCTCTCACCAGGGCTGGCTTCTCGTCCTGAGCCGTTTCTGTTGACGGTCTCCCAGCGAGGACCCGGAGAGGGCGGAAAACTACGAAAGACCTCCCGTCCTGATCTTTTCACGACGCGAGCACGCCTGGGCCCGAATCCCCACTGACTCACCACGCAGTGAGGTCACCACACCGTCTGGGGGCCCGGGCACAGGGCATCCCCCCCCAGAAGTCCGAGAGAGCCCCGGCCTTCCCGAGCACCTTGCCGGTGGCGCCCTGACCGGACAGGGGGCTTGGAGGGGCGCGGGGGACGGGGCAGCACGCGTGCTGGGAGATGTGGCACGCGCGAGAACCCAGATCACCAACAATATATGATGTGTTCCATCCCTGCGTTGTTCCTCGAATTCGGCCCTCTGGGGGTCGGCAGTGGGCCCAGAGGCCATAAGAAATGGATCCGGGACGAAAGACTAGCCCTGGGGACGCAGTCGTTGCTCCTTCGGGCCGTGGATTGGCAAAAACCGTGATTTGCACGCCGGAAGTCTGGGAAGAACGGTCACACGATGCCCACCAGCGAATGGGGCGCAGCAGGACATAACAGTACTATGCGTCCTCATTGGAGGCGTGCGTCCGAGCAGATCACCCCAGCGGTATGGCCAAGAAGCGCCCGCCACGGAGCGTGTTGTGAGATTTCTGACCGCGTGCGTCGGCCGTCTGGGGGCGGCGCACACGTAGCAGCAGCATGTTCGGGTGACGCCAGGCGAGCGACGTCCAGAACCGACAGCGGCCGCTGTGGGGCGGGCGGCGGGTGTACCGAGCGGGCGCGGCGCCCGCGGCGGCACCTGCACCGGCAGCGGGCCCTGTCCGAAATGGACGGGAACTGCTATCGGTCGTCTTCGCCCCTGCTCTTCCCTGCCCCTGCTTCGCTCCGCCTGAGGAGGGCCAGATGCACGTTCTGGGGGCATTCCTGGAGCCGCTCGCCCCACTCGTGCGTCGATGCTGCGTCGAGCGTCCGTCGGCTTGAGCAGAGCGTCCGTCGACCTGAGCCGAACTTGAGCTGAACTCGAGTCGAGCTAGAATCGAACTCGAGTCGAGCTAGAACTTGAGCCGAACTCGAGTCGAGCTAGAATCGAACTAAGAGCCAAACCAGACTCGAACAATAATAGATCGCAATGTTTGTTCTCCGTCACGATGGCCACATGAAGGCCGCGCCCGTGGTGCGGAACGTTAGCTCCGAAGACTGGAGGGTACATGTTCTCCACCGTGATGATCGATAGCGCCAGAAGAGGCGCGAGCGCCGACGTCACGCTGGAGCTCGACTGCACGACTACCGTCAGCACCATCCCGAAGAAGATCGAGAGGTACGCGCTGAGACCCAAGACCTTTCGCGCGTAGCGCACGAAGGGCGTTTCCTCGCCGCTCTCCCGCTGCGTGCGTCCCGACGACGGGACCAGGAAGTAAAGGGGCCGGACAGTCCCGTGCAGGGCGATGCAGAGGAGGACCACCGAGCTGACCAGGACGAGCGCGGAGCAGCCCGCGTCGCCGAGAACCTCGGCGAAGCCTCCCGAAACGATGCGACCCTCAATGTAGAGGTTGGTCAACTCGTCTTCGGAAACGCACCTCTCTAGGGGGAAAACAAACCTACCTCGCTTTTGACCACCCTCGCTTCCAAGAGATACCAAACGATGCCAAATTGAAGCCTGTACTGGTCAGGCCGCTTGACGAGGAGGCGCGTGGTATGACTTGGTTTTGTCTGGAAGCGAAAGCGGGGGAGGTAATTCACGCTCTGACTCTCGATATTCTCATGATCCTCGTCCTTGCGCGAGTCGCCCTTGCAAGAAATCGTCGTCTACCCAGTGTCGGGAATGCACGCGACGCACCCTTTCGCGATGGCCCCATTGATAAAGTCCTTGTCGATCTGGATGAAAACCTTGGACAGGGTGAGGCACGATAATCTTCACGGGCGACGCGAAGGTGACGGCGGCCTTTCCCACGAGGCGATCGGCGATCCATTCAGACATGGAGAGCAAGATACCCGACCCCATTGCCTGGACGACGATCTCCAGCGGAAGCACGATGATGGCCGTCAGCATGCTGAACGCGTTGTGCACCGTCGCCCTTCAGTCCGAGCACGAACTCCTCCCCATCCACAGTGTGACCATGAGCGACGATGGTGTTGGTGACGGACGTGCCAAAATTGGCGCCCATGATCCTCGAAATCGCAATGGCAACAGTGAGGATGTCGGCACGAATCATGATAACGATGATGCTTGTGGTGGTGCTGCTGGACTGCGGAAACACTGTGGCCAAGACGCCAATGGCGAGGCCCGCGAATGGGTTGTTGACTGTGGTAAGCACCTTGCCCACGCCAGCTCCGCTCATGCCATTAAACTCGTTGCCCATGATGTCGAACCCGGGAGCAGAAACAGGTAGAGCAGCGCGAGGAGGATGATTATTTTGGCAACGCATCGATCCGGGAACGGCAATGGGCTGACAGTCTTCTCGTACAGGAGAAACAACCGAGGACTTCTCGCTCTCGCCCTGCGAAGCCATCTTGGGCAACGGCAACGGTGCCGCGGCGCAAGCGTTGATTGACGTCGGGCCTTCAAAGAGCTCTTGGATAGGGGGGACACGCCCACGAAGTGGCCGGTGCAGAAAAGCATTGCCAAAATGGCGACGACGACGACGCCGCCGCCACCGCCGATGACGACGACGACGACGACGACGACGACGACGACGACGACGACGACGACGACGCGGCGGCGGCGGCGGCGGCGGCGGCGGCGGCGGCGGCGCGGCTCGTGCAGAAGCTGGAGCTCTCCCCAGGACCTATCCGTCGTCCTGGGCCGTCTCCTCGCGCCCCCTGGGGCCCGGGAGCGCCCTGGGAGCCCGTAGGGAAGGGTCCCAGCAGGAGTCTTCGGGCGTCCCGAGGAAAGCGTCCCTCGGCAGGCACCCTCGCGCGCCCCAGGGGGAGCACCCTGGCAGGAACCGGGGGGGTCCCCTGTGGACGCTGGCCTCCCCAAGCGGGGGGGGGCCCTCCAAATGGGGGGGGGAGTCGAACCAGGAGGTTGGGGCCATGTCAAGGGGAGGGGAGGTTCGAACGAGGAGGGGGGGGGGGGCGCCTGAGTTGCAGGGGGGGAGTTCGAACCAGGGGGGCCCCCCCCCTGTTCAAGGGACGGGGGGGCTCGAACCGAGGGGGGGCCACCCCCTATGACTTGCAAAGGGGGCGGGGGTCGAACTGCCCCTGCAGGGGGGGGAATTCGAACTGAGAGGGCCCCCCCCGTGAGTTGCAAGGTGGGGGTTCGAACCAGGCCCCCCCCTGCGCGCGGTCGCCGTCGCCGTCGCCGTCGCCGTCGCCGTCACCGTCACCGTCGCCGTCGCCGTCGTCGTCGTCGCCGTCGTCGTCGTCGTCGGACGCCGTCCACGCCGGCGCCGTCGCCGTCACGCGCCGTCACCGTCGTCTTCGCAGTCGTCGTCGCCGTCGCCGTCGCCGTCGCCGCCGTCCCCGTCGCCGCTGTCACCGTCGCCGTCGCCGTCGTCGTCGTCTCTGCCCGACGGCGACGGCGCTGGCGCCGGCGCTCGCCGTCGTCGGCTGCAAAGGGGGGGCGCCCTCCTGGTTCGAACCCCCGGGGAGGCGGGCCCTGTGCGCGTCCTCGTCGTCGCCGTCGCCGTCGCCGTCGCCGTCGACGCCGTCGTCGCCGCCGCCGCCGCCGTCGTCGTCGTCGTCGTCGTCGTCGTCGCTGCCCGACGGCGCCAGCGCCGCCGCCGCTGCCCGCGTCGTCGTCGTCGTCGTCCTCGTCGTCGTCGTCGTCGTCGTCGTCGTCGTCCATATCCTCGTCGTCATCGTCGCTGCCCGCCGTCGCCGTCGCCGGCGCCGGCGCTCGCCGTCGTCGGTTGCAGGGGGGGAGTACCCTCGACGTCGCTGGCGCCGGCGCTGGCGTTCACCGTCGTCGCTTGCAGGGGGAGGGCCCTCCTGGTTCGAACTCCCCCTTTGCAACTCAGGGAAAGATACCTCAACACATGGAAAGACACTGATCTACAATATCCTACTTCAGTATGCCTGCTTACACTGCTGCCGATGTGTAGTCATGGCACGGCTTCTGACGTGACCTGACCAGGCTACCCCATGGTCCTGAGACCCCCAAAGCCCAAAGGTTGCCCGATGTCCATGAAGATGCTCCCCAGACGCTCCCTGGGTGGCCAAAGAAGACCCCTCTATAGGCCCCTCAAGAGGCCCTCGAGAAGCCCCTCCTAAGCAGTGGCAAACACGCCCCTTGCAGAATTCAACCAAGCGCGCAGACCCACAACAACATGCACGGCTTTGTTACAGGAGAACCAAAGCATGCAGCCAACGATCGAGCTGAAAGGGAGAAGAAAGCCCGATGAATCAGCAGCCATCCGCAAACTGGCCTCCAACTCCACAGCGACAGGTCCAGAGCCGTCAGCGCCTGCGGCCACGACGCAGATGTTCTCGTCCTGTATGGCGCAGAAAATGGGAGGGAGTCGGCAGCTGCCCGATTCACAAGTTGTGAATGCCTCCGAGAAAATTTGTCAAGAGGTGGGGGGGGCACGAGGGCAAATTCAGTCAAAATCAGTCCCTGGACCCCTCCCCAGGTCGACACTGACAAGTTCTTCGAGCTGCGTCCAGCCGTGGCGACGAGGGACCCCATTTTTCTATTCTGCTGCCCGGAACCGAAGGTGGGCCACCTCAGCCCCCCGCCTGGCTCAAAGTCTCCTCCTCGCCTTCGTCGTCCAATTAATCCAGGACCGCATTCCAACTCGCAGCAGATGAGCGGAAGCGCACACAGTCGTGTACAGGGCGACGGGCAACCGTCCGAGTGCAAGTGCTATCGGGCACTGTGGCTCGGAAGCCGCTGGAACGCAAGCGGCGCCCCACGCACATGTTCATCACAAATGGGAGTCTGCGGTGAAGAAGATCGGAGGGCAGGATCATCCGCCACCGAACCCTCGAGGCACGAGTTGGAGTGTCCTCAGGTCTTTGGCCTAATCCCTTAAGCATCAAGCCTCAATGCTGAGGACTCTTTGAAGGTCCAGGACCCCGAATTTACACTTCTCTTGGGGCTTCTCGCAGGCCCCCTGGGCTCCGGGGCGTCTTGTCGCGTGACTTGTCTGGGCCCAAGAAGGTCCCAAACCAGGGCGAGACAGCCCAAGAGGCACCAAGACGGTCCAAGAGGGCCCCGAATCGCCGAACGATCGGTCCAAGATACCCAAAGAGGTTAGGATCCGAAAAAATGCACGAAGACAAACTGTCGGAGATGCACGCGGATTTCTTGGATCGGGGCTGGACTCCGTCCCCAGCGCGCGGGGCGCGCCAGAACTAGAGGCGCCGCTAGGGTTGCCCATCGATGCTCCAAGAAATCCACGCAGACCTCCGAAAGTCCATGTTTGCCAGCGTGGACCCCAAGCAGTAAGTAAGCGCAATGTGAAGGTGCAAGCTATGCGGTGTAAGCTATGTGTTCTGATCTATGTGGTGCAAGCTATGCAATGTAAGTTGTTCGGTGCACGCTATGCAGTGCAAGCTATGTGGTGTAAGCTGTCTTGCGTGAGCTGTGCGACTTACGCTATGTGGTGTGAGCTATGCGGTGTGAGCGAGGCGGTGTAAGCTTCGTGGTGCAAGCTATGCGGTATAAGTTATGATGGGAAAGCAATGTGGTGCAAGCTATGCGGTGTAAGCGAGGCGGTGTGTGCTACGATGTGAAAGCAATGTGGTGCAAGCTATGCGGTGCAAGCGAGGCGGCAACGAGGCGGCCACGAGGCGGCAACGAGGCGGCCACAGGGCGGCAACGAGGCGACCACGAGGCGGTCACGGGCGGCGACGTTGCGAAACCTTGGCCTACCCCCCAAATGGGAAGCCACGAGGCGGGCACGAGTCGACCACGGGCGGCGACGCGGCGATACCTCGACACACACACACACACACACACACACACATACATACATACATACATACATACATACATACATACATACATACATACATATGTATATATACATGCATGCATGCATGCATGCATGCATGCATGCATGCATGCATGCATACATACATACATACATACATACATACATACAGACATACGTGCATACATACATACATACATACATGCATACATACACACACACATACATACATGCCTACATACATACATACATACATACATACATACATACATACATATATACACACATACATACATACATACATACCGACCTACCTACCTACATGTCTACCTACCTACATATATACAGACAGACAAAAAGACAGGCAGACAGACCTACGTACCTACAGATGTACATACAGACAGGCAGACAGGCAAACAGGCAGAACGACACACACACGTACATACATACATACATACATACATACATACATACATACATGCATGCATGCATGCATACATGCATACATACATACATACAAGCACACACCTACATACACACATACATACATACGTACGTACGTACGAACGTACATTACATTACATTACCTTTCCTTACGTTACATTATATTTGTATTACGTTACATTACATAACCTTACATTACATCACCCTACATTACAATACCTTACGTTTCCTTCATTTCATACATCACATTACAATACAGTACAAGACTATGCACTACACTACCATCTACTGCCTTACAGTACACTCCATTACATTCCATTACGTCTCATTAGATTACGATACAATACAATACATTACACACATACAGACGCGCGCACACATATTGCTATAAATAAACGGATGCCTATCCATCTACATATGTGGATACAGAAACATAAACATCTATATTTAAAAAAACATATGCATATGCATATACATAGACATAGGCATGTACATAGGCACATACATATACCTATACATATGCATACGAATGTACACATGTTTATATAGATGGACATCGATACATGTACTACAGATGTGCACATACATAGACCTAAACCAATACATAACGAAAAGCATCTACATAAGCATATACATGAACCTATATATATATACAGATACATATACATACACATACACATATACTTATATGACGATATATATGTACGTAAATATGTGCATACATGCTTACCTATATATAAATGTATGCCTAGACATAGACGTGTACATGTCCATATGCATGAACATACATGTATATATATACAGATACATGCACGTATAATTAGACATGTACATATACGTATGCATACACGTGCAAACATGCATACATACATACGTGCGTACATACATACAGAGACGTACATACTCAAATACATACATACACACATACACACATACATGCATGCATACATACATACACACCCCAAATCGGCGGCCACAAGGCGGCCTCAAGGCAGCCACAACGAGGCGGCAACGAGGCAGCCGCGAGGCACCACAGGTGGCGCGGCGAAAGCTCGACATACCCCCCAGGTTGGCGGCAAAGAGGTCGAAATGGGCGGCGACGCAGAAACAGAAAAACTCGACTGACCAACCGAATAATTGGAATGAGAAGCAAGAACCCCAAAGAGCAAGCACTATTTGGGGAATATTGATGCCGTGTTTCTTCTTCGATGCAGTGGACAAGCTCGCGGGGGTCTCGCCGGGACCAACACCCGAGCGACACTACGGCACTACGACCTACGACACAGCGACCCTACGCGGCGGCCTCTCCAGGCCGCTGGCGCACCACATCGCGTGGAACGGCGGCGCTCACGCGCGGCACTGCACGGAAAGCTTCCGCGCGAATGCCGGCGCACCCGACCTGTCTGTTTACGTCACTCACCTGCATCACCCTCCCATCTTTGAGGGGCAACGACAGGAGGGGACTAGCCAAGGGGGAGGGGGAACATCGAGCTTAAATCGGCGATTTATCGCCCATGGAAAAGCGATAGGTACCCGATAGCGAAAGGATGGGGAATCAGTCTTGGCTTGATTGAAGGTGCGAGAACTTTGTTAAAGACGGTTCGAGACCATTTTTCTCAAAGTGTTTAATGAAACCTGTTCCAGCCCCCGAGGCGCGATGCCTGTAAGGGGTGTGAGAAAAGTGGCCCATGGACGCCATATTGAGGCCTGGACGTCCGCCGCCAGCTGAGGGCTCAAACAAATTGTTTCTGACCGAGGCGAGATCTGTGTGAGGGGCGTGCCAAACAAACAAATCCCACCAGCCCTTTGGGCGTAGGTGGTCTAGGAATGTTTCCTCTGCTACCCCATCCTATTTCCCCTTCGGGGAGGGGTTTACCCCTCCCCCTACCCCCCCCCCTGGACCTGGACGGGGGGTTCCGCCACGCGTTGGAGCGTCCAAAACGGCCTCGGCAAAGAAGCCAAGATCATTGGTTTTACTATGGTTTGGGCCCCACTTTGGCCTCCTGAGGGGGGAGGCTAATTTAGGACCCCCCCTCCTGTGATCGATCTCTTCCAAGATGGCCCCAAGAGGCGCCCAGGAGGCCCCAAGAGGCCCCGAGATGGCCCCAAGATGGCCCCATGTGGCCCTAAGAAGCCCCCAAGAGGCCCCCAGGATGCCCCCAAGAGGCTCCCAAGAGACCCCCACGAGGCCCCAAGAGGCTCCCCAGAGGCACCCAAGACGCTCCAAGAGGCCTCGGCGACAATGCCAACGTCATTGATTTTACTTAGGTTTTGGCCATAGTTGGGCCTCCTGGGGGAGGGGGAGGGTGAGAGGGGGGGGGGGGGGGGGGGCACTGCTCCAAGTGGCCAAAGAGCTCCCCCAGGAGGCCCCGAAGAGGCCAAAATCCTTCCAAACCCAATGAAAATCAATATTTAGGGTTTTCTCGCCTTTTCGCTTCCGATGGCCATCCGAGGCTTCAAGATGACTCCAAGATGGCCCAAGAGGGTTCCAAGAGCGCTCCCAAGGCCCCCAAGAGCGCTTCAAGAGGGCCCCAGGAGGCGCCCAGGAGGCCCCAGGAGGCCCCAACAGGTGCCCTAAAGGCCCCCAGGAGGCCCCCAAAAGACTCCCAAGAGGCCCAAAGAAGCTCTCCGAGGCACCCAGAACGCTCTAAGAGGCGCCCGGGACCGCCAAGAGGCCCCCAAGACGCCCCAAGAGGCCTCCACTGGGGGACCCTTCCTCTGTGTGCTGCCCACTTCCCTGATCGAGACACTTCCTCTGGGCATCGTTTCTGGATGGGCTGGTGGGGTTACTTTTTTTCGGTTGCGGCCGCGCGACAACGGTCTGGCGGCGAGTAGCAAAGTCCGGGGCATGCGGCACGATGCGAATTGCGAACACAGCCGCCACGTTGGCAAGCCAGTTCGCATCTGCACAGCAAGCGCGCAGTTGCACATGCACAGAACAAAATGAACTAAATTCACAAGCAAACGCACATAGGCGCCGCAGTGTGAACCGAGGTGAACAAGCGGCAGAGTGTGCGAATCACAAGGAAAACCAAGGGCTGCACAGGCGTTGCAGGCTGAACCACAAGGCGCCCAGTCCTCATAATCTGCCTCCCAGTGCCAAGTGGAGCCAT